CTCCAGTCTGGGCGACAGAGTGAGACTCCAACTCAAAAAAAAAAAAAAATTTAATAACAACGGTGGTCAAGCCCAAGGCAACCCAGATGCTGAAATTATCAAAGCCTCCTATGTTAAAACAGTTATACAAAGACTTTAAAGGAACAATAATAACCAGACCTAGGAGATAAAGAAAACACACTTGAAATAAATGAAAAGACAGGTGTTCTCAGTTTAAAAAAAAAGACTAAAAAAAAACCAAATAAAAATTTTAGAAATTAAAAATGGAAATTAAATTTCACTGGATTGGCTCAAGAGTAGAGTGGAGATGATAGAGGAAAATTATCAGTGAACTAGAAGATGAATGAATAATTGTTCAACCTGAAGAAACAGAGGGTAGGGAAGAATTTCACTACTTTGAGGAAAAACAAAAGTTCTGAAAATTCATAAGGACAATAAAACTCCGAACTAAGGGTGTTTGGAGTTGGTTACTGGCATTTCATGTACAATACTCAGAGAAACCCCAACTCAGTAATAGATTCTTTGAATGTGAACTGTCTTGTAACTTTGACTTTGGGACCAGTCGATATTTCCGATAATAATTTTTTAAACGAGCTTGTTAATCAAGTTAGTGGAGTAACTACACAGAAAACAACTATTACAAATGTCTTCAAAATAAAGTAATTTAACTATGCATCCCTAGAGTGATATGCCCCAAATATAAAAAATAAACTGTCTTCAATAATCATATTGTCAGTGATAGTTTTTGTATTATTATTCTGTGACTTGTGTATGAGAAAAAGAAATGAGTAATTATGTCGCTACCAATAAGAAATGTATTTGTATACCTAACCCTTAACTGTACCCCACAATATCATAATAAAAAATATTGATTATAAAAAAAATTAAAAATAAAATAAAATAAAATAAATAAGAAACAGTATTTTCAGCAAGAAGACACTGAAGACAGATGAAGTTCAGTAAAAATCTTGATGTAGACCTGAATGGTAAGTAATGGTATGAAGTTATGATGTATCTTTAAATGTGTGTGCCTTCCATCTGTGTCTATCAAAGAGACTTAAAAGTAACGACTAATTCAGTAGCAACACTATTCCTAAATCCTACACTGCAGTCTATAAAGGCCACTTCCCATAAAAAGAAACAAGAGTCCCTTGAAGAAATGGCTGATTCTAGATCTAAGGTAGGAAATACCCAAGATAAGACTAGAGCATCTTGTCATAGCAGAAAACAAGGAAGCTAAGAAAAGAGGACAGTAACAAAAAAAACCTCAAGAGTCAGTCATAAAAGGGTTCTCCAGACTAAAGATGAGACAATTAACCCTTTGCACTTGGATATCCCCTCTGAGGGGGTATCATAAATTTAGCAAACCACTTGGATGTCCCCTCTCAATAGGGAATTGCCATAAATAAAGAGACCCCAAGAGTCAGTCAGTGCAGCAATCAGACCACACACAACATTTATTAAGTTTACCATCTTATGTGGGCGTGGTTCGTAGTGCCCCCAAATAATTACAATATTAACATCAAAGATCACTGATTGTAGATCACCAGAACAGATATAAAAGTGGAAAAGTTTAAAATATTTCAAGAATTACCAAAACGTGACACAGAAATATGAAGTGAACACATGCTGTTGGAAAATGGCAGTCAGACTTGTCTGACACAAGGTTGCCAAAAAAGCTTCAATTTGTAAAAAATGCAGAATCTGAGAAGTACAATATAGCAGGACATAATAAAATGAAGAATGTCCATATTTAGATAAAAAGAGACAATTTTACATAGTTCTATTAATATAATCACACAATGGGTATACATATTAAGAACAAATTTAAAACAATAAAAATAGATTCAGAATCTCATAGTGGTTCCTGTCTACAATTATGAACAATAAACATGAGTGGACCATGAAGGAGGATACTTATAGCAAAGTGAACTTTAGGTCTGAACAAACCAAATACAACAAATAGTAACCAAAAGATTCAGTAGAGAAAGGGGGGCTAGTATTCAGAAACTCCCTACAGGGCACAATGTTCACTATCTGGGGAAAGGGCCACCTGAGACCCAGTCCCACTACTATACAATATGTCCATGCAATGAAGACGCATGTGTACCCCGAGCCTAAGATAGAAAACATTTTATTTATTTATTTATTTATTTATTTGAGTTGGAGTCTCACTCTGTCGCCCAGACTGGAGTGCAGTGGCCGCTCCCGGCCACCGCAGCCTCAACCTGCTGGGCTCCGGTGATCCTCCCGCCTCAGCCTTCCAAGTAGTTGGAATTACAGGCATGCGCTACCACGCCCGGCTGATTTTTTGATTTATTGTAGAGATGAGGTCTCGCTGCCCAGGCGGGTCTCGAACCCGCGGGCTCAGGCTAGAAAACATTAAAAAGCGTATGTCAAACATGTTTGTATCTACTGAATCTTTTACGTTTATTTTAGAAAACATTTAAAAAATAAATTTAAAAGATTCAGTAGACACAAACATGTGTGACATACGCTTTTTAAAGTGCTTTTTTTCTATAAAATAAACTATGTAGCAAGTAAAATTGTTTCAAAAAGGCTTCCGAATTACGTTAAGTACATACCATGGCGTACCAGGAATAGGAGTAGTAGCTACTGGCTTTGCCTTCTGGGCAGCCTTTTCTTCTTCAGTCATCTCCTCTTCTTTGGGCTCCTATGGGAAATGATATTACATTCATTTAATTAATGTCACAAAACTCTATCTGAACTGTCCACAAGAGTGTGATCGAAAATACCTCAAAGTGCAACCACACAAGGTCTGCTGCTAAAATGATGGAAGACTCCCAGTAGAAAGTTCTAAGTTCTAAATCCTTGTCCCCCCAGAAAAGAGCTGAATTCCACAACAGCAGAACCCAGCAGCAGTAGCTAGTCCTACCTTATAGACTCACTAACTTGGGAGCAGAAATGGAGAAGTACAGAAATAAAAAATCAGAGATGACCTCTTCATTTAAGGTTGTTTCTTATTTCTGTTAACTTCTCTACTACTGTAACATGTCTAGCATTGATCCGTCACTGGAAAAAGAAAACTTCTGAAAAACAGAGTTCTTTTATTGCAATAAAGGGATCATTCCATGACAGAACACAACAGCAGAGAGGGCTGATAAAATATATCCACCATTTCTCAAGTAAGTTCACTTAAAATTTTTTTTTATTTTAAAAATGTGGGGTACAAATGAAGGTTAGGTACTTATGTGGTCATCACACAGCACTTATAATTTTAACATATACCAGTTTATAAGTCAGGAGTTCGGAGATCAGGTCCAACCTCTGCAAGGCTCTCTTTCTAAAGGTCTCAGTTTGGAGTAAGTAATTCAACCCTTTGCACTCAGAGATACCTCGCAGATCACTTATCAGTAACTCAGCTTGCACTTTTTTATGAAACAATGAAAAATGAATCACTTCATATTAAAAAGTATAGCGTTGAAACCAATTATTTTATTGTAATGATATATGGCTTATAATGGAATTTTGGACGTTGAGGAACTTATTTATGACCAAAAAAATCAAAATTTTGTATCATATTTTTCTAACATGTGGTAACGTGTAAAACAGTCAGCAACATGCATTGTGGTTTCACTGATACATGTTGTGCATTAGTAACTTGTTTGACGTCTTCTGCCTGGTGTTTTTTTTACTCAAGCAGACAATGCAGGCTCATTTTCTTCCTCTCACATTAATAATATGTAGTTTATTGTCCAGTGTGTTGTTCAAAGAAGATGTAGCAGGACACAGTTGTGATTCCTAAACACCACTTCTTAACTGAATGATCATTATCTCTGTATATATTCCATCTCTCTATTTGCTTTCTCATGCAATTTGAATGGACAGTCGAGTGCAAAGGGTTAAGGAAACTTTCAAAGAAAAAACAGAATTAAAAATATTAATGAACTCTACACTAGAGATCAAATTCCTAACAATTATTTTAAAATGTTTAATAGATACTCAATTATAAACAAATAGTCCCAAACTCTACTACACGTGGCTCTCAGGTTAGTGAGCCATGGCCCTTTACCTCCTTTATCTCCTTTATGGGCTCTTCTTTAGGATCCTCCTCCTCTGTCTCCATTGGCAAAGGTTCTTCAGAGGGTTCTTTAATTGGCTCTTTAATCTTCTCTTCTAATTTTTCTGTTACAAAATTTTTAAAATGTCATTTAAAAGCTCTGATGTCATTTTGTAACAACTTCAGAGAAGATGCAGTTTTTCATTTCCAGTTATTAACCAAAAAGATAAAATGTCCTTCCTCGTAATATCATTGATTTGAATCCAATATAATAATCAACTTCAAATACCATGCTACAGAAAATTGTTTAAAGAAGACCTAGTGACTTCAAAGGGACATAAATTCTTTCGGGTCATTCATATGTTCTTCATAGCAATCACCCATTCTGCAGAAAGAGAGGATACTAAGATACTCAGGAATGGAAATAGGGGCTTGTGAGTCAGGTGCAGTGGCACATGTCGATAGCCCCAGCTATTTGGGATGCTGAAGCAGGATGATCATTTAAGCCTACGAGTTCAAGACCAGCCTGTGCAACATAACACTTTGCCTCAGTTAATAAGAAAACAAAAACAAAAACAGGGGCCTGTGACATAAAAAATTACAAGTCTTCTACATCTAAGATGAAATGACATCAAATATGTAAATAGAATGCATGACTGGCTTTTTACATAAATACATATTTATCAATTCAGTAGAAATAAATAATAACTATGTAATTAGAAAATTCTTCAAATATATTAAAAAGAAATTAACTCAGAATTTCATAGTATTTATTATACTTCATACAATGTCCCAAGTAATTAAAACCACTATACCTTTTTCCTTTAGTTCTTGGGGTTTTTCCCAGGTTGATTCTAAAGTTCTATTATTATAATAATATGTCTTCCCATCTGCTGTTTTATATTCAGTCCACTCAGAAACCGCTGTTGCTCCAGCTAAGGTAGCAGGTGAAGCTGCAATAGCAACCTGGGGGTGTATCATGGGTACAATAGGAGGGGCCATTCCTGGCAATACACCTACAAAAAGAAGAATAAAAATCAGATCTAAGTATCAAAATGTAATACAAAACCACACTCTAAAATATGAGCTAAATCTTTCTATCAAATGTTAATAAATGAATGGACCAGTTGGAACAGAAAAAAATCATATTAAAATGTGATTTAAATATTACTCAACTCTATTTCTCTGGAATTTTTGTCTAATGCCCAAATTCAATCAGAAACAGAAATTCAACCTAATAAGTACCTTAAGAATGGTCAGAAATTTGGGTCTCACCTATGACAAACTTAATAAACTATAAAAATCATGGTATATTCTCTATGTACTAACAGAAATATTTTTATGAAAATAATTTCTATAATTTCTCAAATTCTAAGGAAATTAAGACGAACACATATACTGAGCACATTTCCTGAGGCAAAATTATTTTCTAGTCCTAATGTAACAAAAAAAGGGTATGAATAAAATTATCAGTTTTAAAGCAAATGACTATCAAATCTAAATTATTAAGTTAGATATCATGGTAAACTGTTAGTTTACTCTTTTCCTAAAAGAAAGCAAAGCTGCTTCAACTTTTTAGAAGATAAACCAAGATATATATTTTTTACAAGACAGCTAAAAAAGCTGAGACTATATAAATGAAATACTAAGAAAATAAGATCCTCAAATCCTATACTAGAATTTAAGTTTCAAATAGATATCTTACTTCAATAACTTCAGAATGAAAATGTATATACAGTATACACAAATATTCACACACATAGACTCACTAGCATGCAAGCATAATCACATCACTTTACACATGGAAATGATTTTTTTATATTTAACTTAAAAACACATCAAAAATAAAATTAAATGTTATGAATATGAGAATGAAGTTGTTTACACTTATTACATAAATTAAGAGATAAAGTGATCTGACCTTATTTGCTTTTGTGAACCAAAGAAGCTAATACTACAGGCAATTGGGAAAATTAAGTGTTGGCCAAATATGACAACTGTATTTATACTGCTCATTAAAAAGAAAAATATAAAAAAATCCACTCACTTGGGCAAAAAAATAAATAAAAGGATAAACAACAACATTCACTACCATGCCAACTTACAGACAAAACAAACTAAGATGGTTTTAAAAATTACCGGTCTTGGTGGTAGCGACTGTCTTTACATACGGGCAGCTGACTATTTGCATCATTGCTACACCTGTAAAATGGATAAGCAAGCATACGTTGGAAAGCTGCCATTGTATGTCGGCTACCACTGGGATTCAGGGAAATAATTTACCACTACAATTTAGAATGCTATTTCCAATGAAAAAGACCAAGAATGGAATAAAATTTTTTTTTGTTTGACATTTTGTGGGAAGCAGTGCCAAATCCAATGATACTAATTCTAAATAATAGATAGCATCAATACCTTTTATCAAACCAGCTCTGAAAATATTTGAAGGAGTCTCAGGAGTTTAAATTCAACAAAAGAAAGCCCCTTCATTACATACATGTAACAAACTCTCATGTGGGACATTTCCCCACAGGACATCAAACCCATGCTGCTGTTGCTTAGAAACTAGTGAAAGGCAGATGCAGCATGACACTGCCAAAACATTTTCTCTTGGCTGCTGCTAAACTGAAATTACATGCAGGAGCTGAGTCATGGAGCACAAGCATGCAGAAGTAGAAATGGAGTAAGATAGAACAAAGAGGAGTGGTAGGGATAGGAAGAAAGTAAGGTATGAAATGGATCCAAATATTCCACTGCAAATAATACTTTAAATAAAGGCAAAGTTGAAGAGGAAGGTAGCATTAACTAATGACAAAATATCTATGGTTAAAATCTCGTCATGGGCTTGGAACACCGTGGGGGCAGGAAAACATTAAGAAATACGCAGTCCCTTTAATACTGTCAAGGACTATGTGGGCTGATAGCTGCTTAAGCCTCAATCATCTAAAATGGCTAAAGAAGTAGCACTGGTATTAGAGAGTGGAAATTACGTACAGTTCTCAGAAGAATGAAGGTTCATCATGATGCATTACAGTGATGATTTTAAAAGGGATTGGAATGAAAAGAAATGCTGGAAAACTAAGACTGATTAATTTAGGAAATACAAATTTAAGTGATTCAAAAAAATTTTAAAAGAAAATGCTGAAGTCTGAAAAAAAGTGTAGCAGAAATAATTTTGTTTTCAGATGAAAAAATCGAAGCTTAATTTGGCACCCCATAAAAATTAAAAATAGTAACAATAAACTAGTTTCCCCACTGAAGGACAGAAAAAGAAATTTCTCCTAATTCAGAGGCTAAAATTAAAATTAAACTCCTGGGTTTGCATATAATGTAACTGTTCACACACACACAAAAAAAAATACTGTTAACTCTTGGAAAGCACCTTGCTAAATTTTCTATTAAATCTTAAACTAAAGTGAAAACACTGGATTATAAAATCATGCTGAGTAAAGTTATATGTGTAACTATTTTCCCTAATGTTGAAAAAAATCCACTTGATTAAGGAAGTTACAGCATGTAGTTAAGTTTAAATTAATATAAATACTGCCATCTGCAGGATCACTTATCCTACACTAAAGCCAGCACTAAAAATTCAATTCTTAAGAACACAGGAATTTTATTCTCAACAATTGTTCTCCAAAACCATCCTCCAACAAATAATTTTAACTTTACAACTTACACAGAAGAAAACCATTCATATATAGGCTTAACTGCCATTGTTAAAAATCAATTGGGCCAACATAGAACTCGTCTATTTGACTACCAATATAGACCATATCAAAATGCCGTATGTTTCTTCTCATGCTAAAAAGATAACGTTGTCTCCCAAGCCAATAATATGCACATCAAGAATACTCACAAAATAACCACATATCTACACTTTTAGCCTTTTTTACTTAAAAAGAAAATCTGTCCAATTTTCCTACAATTCTGTACTCAAATCATGCCGATAGGAAACTAGAAAAACTCCACTTAGCATTCTTGATAATTCTGATGTCCCTGACATAAAGGTTCTTAAAATTCCAAATAAGATTTTTATAGTTCTATAAGTAGAAATCTTTAATCCTAAGCCAGTCTACTATCCCTAAAACCTGACCCTTAAAATTTTACATTTTCCTTAATTTTTCCACTCCTTCCTTTCATATTGTTTGACTATGAGTCAACCTCATTAGTGCCAGACAATGCAGTTTCAAATGAAATTTAAGGCTCTCAAATAAATTACATACAAATCCCTACTGTTTATTACCTTCTTGCTAACTTGAAATAAAAAGGGAAAAACAAAGAGACATAGATGTTGCTATACATATAACCACACAAAGATTTGGGGAGGAGAAAAACAAGTCTTTGTCCTTGGTTTTTACTAGACACCTTGTAGGACTGAATTAAAAGAGAAAAATGACTATTAATACCAAAAATGAGGCTGGGATCAGTGGCTCAGCCTATAATCCCAGCGCTTTGAGAGGCTGAGGTAAGTGGACTGCGTGAGCCCGCGGGTTTGAGACCCACCCAGACAACTTGGCAAGACCTCGTCTCTACAATAAATCAAAAATTAGTCGGGCATGGTAGTGCACGCCTGTAGTTCCAGCTACTTGGAAGGCTGAGGCGGAAGGCTGAGGTGGAAGGATGGCGGGAGTCCAGCAGGACGAGGCTGCGGTGGCCGGGAGCGTGCTACTACACTCCAGTCTGGGTGACAGAGTGAGACTCCAACTCAAAAACAAAAACAAAAAACAAATACCAAAAATGTCTTACCATATAAACAAATATTAATATCACTTTCTGTGACACCAGCTCCCTCTCCAAAGAAAGGATACAATCTTACAGACTATCCAATTCAAGTTATCTTCCAAATGACATAAAATGTCAGTAATGGCTGCCATTATTAAATGCCTTCTATTGCCAAATTTCATAAGTACCACCTCAGCTGTTGACCCAAATGGTCACTACCACATGCCCTAGATTTTTTAATGATGGGGAGGGGAGACTATGACAATAGAATGTAGCTATAGCTAGAGAGATTTTATTGTGACAAAGTTCCATTTTCTATAAAATGAATTCTGCTCCTCTGTACCACCTACTATCAGTCCTAGTAAAAAGAACCTGTAAAAAAAGCCCTTCAAATGACAGCCTCTCGAAACACTTCAACGACTTTACCATGCTACCTCTCAATCTTCTCTCCACAGAATTATTAACCTCAACTCTGGATCACTCAGACTCTAGGATCTGGTCTTCATACTGTACTTAACCCTCAAGCACACCAAAATTATAAGAGGTTGTGACCAATGTCAAGGTATTCTCCATTTATCATGCAGTTTCCTACAAAAACTATATCTAGAGGAAAGTATCCAGCTGCTTGCCTTAAATACAGTATAGAAAAGGGATAATCCCTAATATTAGAGGAAACATTCTTTATTTTTAAATAATTTGAGTTCCCAAAAACCACATATTGGGCATTTAATTATCTAACACTACATCAACAATGTGTAAAAGGTTTTTCTATAAAATAAATAACAAAAAAACTACGTCTTGAAATTTTTGGCTTTTTTCTTGCCAAGGTATATCCGAAAGTGTCCTTTTCAAAGTGGTCACAAGGAAAAAGACAAATAGAGCAATAGTGATCATTAAGATATGTGCACATCTAAGAAACAGGTGTATCCCAACCATATTCGTATATAGAAAATAGTATAATAAAGTGACAGTAATAAATAGTGGGTGCAATGTAAACTTGAAAGACAAGAGACCTAGATTTTATTCATCTTTGCTACAGACTTGTCCTGTGAACTTGCCCTCACCCAGGTATCACTATCTTCCACTACAATATGAGAATGAATCATGTATCAAGGATTGAATGTGTTTGACAGCAGCAAATGCATTCAAATTTGGAATGCCCAAAACTATCACTGTTTAATCCCTATGTTAATAATTCTACTCAACAATCTTTTAATTCCTTTTCTAGTCTTAATAATTTCCTTTAAGACAGTAAAACATGAATTCACCGTAATAATTTAAACTTCTAAATCATGCATGTTATACTTTACTTCACAATTGTTACAAGGGAATCTTTTGGTTTGTTTTATATAAACTATTTTATAGTTAAGTAGATCACATTTTTTCCCCAGCATTAACATAATTATTAAGAGTTTGGTATCTGGATCTGGAGGCAAAGGCTCAAATCTCAACACCATCACTTACTCACTATGTAAACTTGGGCAAGGTTAGCCTGTGTGTGTACCTACCTCATAAGATGATTGTGAAAATTAAAGGAGTTAATGGATGTACAGAAAGTGCTTGGAACAGTGCACTATATATAAATCATTCAACTTGTGTTAGCTGTTATGACTTGTGATTTCTTAACTTTACAGATTCAATCCCTTAGAAATACTGCATTTAAAACACATGTACATGAAAAGGTGTTCATTTTTAATTCATTGAGGCCATTATCCAAAATAAGTGTAGCTTTAAATGTGGCTTTAATTTTAGGACATGTAAACAACAACAAAAAAGACATTTACCAGAACTTAAGAGAAAATATTGTAGTTAGCCATGAATCTTTCAAAAAACATTTCAAACAGGTGAGATTCAAGGCAAATTTCAAACGCAAAAGACACATGAGAACAAACTAACTGACAATATGAAAACATAACTGGAAAGACCACTATAATCTGTTGGTTTACCTGGAAGTGGAATTGGCATGCCGGGAAGGGGAACACGAAACGGAGGTACCATTACTGGTGGAAAAGCAGGTATTGCTGCTGTGGGTTGAGGTACTGAATGAGGAACAGCAGGAGGTAACGTCTGGGGATGCGGCTGAGGAACGGTTTGCACAGGCGTGGCTGTCGGAGCAGGAGCTGAAACACTAACTGTAGGTGTGGCAACTGAAACAGCAGAACTTGGGGTCTGATCTTGTGTTGTGGGTGCTAATAAAAGACAAAACAAAAACATGTATCACTCCTTCACAAACCATTTTACTTTGTTCATTCATCATCCACTCATTCAGTAACGTAAGCACTTAAGGCCCCATTCCATGCACTGCAACAAATTTGTCAAAAGGTCTCATCTTCAAGAAGTTTGAAAATAGTTAAATGAAATATTAAAAATCACTAAAATACAAAGTGAAATGGGATAGATGTACAGGGGTATAAATTAAGAGCCAAAGAACATTTCTAATTGTGAGAGGGATAGAAAATTTTATTCTGCGATGATGAGCCTTGAAAGGTTAAAATTTCAACAAGGAAAAAGGGGGTGAAAGGAGAAAATAAGCAAGTAGTAGAAAGAGTATGAGTAAAGGCAAAGAGTAGAGAACATCAAGGAATTGTTCAGAAAATCGCAGGTAACTCTAAGAAAGGGATTGGCAGTAGTGGGATACTGCCAGGGTTTCAGGGGAGAAATGACATATCAATAAAGGTACCTGATCTCAAACCAGGCAAAGTGGGAACCAAAGGGAGGCCCAAACTTTACCTGTACAATGTCCACTTGTATAACTAATCCTGAATTGTACCATACAACTTTAAAATAAAATACAAATAGAGAAAAAAAGAAAAGAAAATTGAAGGCAAGCAGTTAACTACTAAAATATTGGGCATACCAATAAAGCCAGTGAGTTACAAAACGCTAAGGAGTCTACACTTTACTTGAGTAGAGAAAGGGCAGAACTTACATAAATGTAGAGAAAATGAACTAGAAGAATACAAACCAAGATATATCAACAGTAGTTACCTCTGTATATGTCTTTCACTTTTTACTATATAGAGTTTGAATTTCTTATAGAACATATTCACATGTTATTTGTGTGACTTCATGAAGGAAAAAGGGATATGGGTATGGCAGACTAAACGTTTCTATATGGAGAGTAATAATCAGTGTTCACTTGATGAATTAACCTGACAGACAGATGCAAAGGAAGAAAAGAAAGGAATGGGAAAATCAATTACAACATTACTGCAACTATCCAAGCAAGAAAGAACAAGAGGAAAAGATATGCAAATTACTAATGACCAACTGGATTCGAATGGATGGAGTACAAAGCATCTCTGGTTTCTCCATCATTATTTCAAAATTAAAAAAAAAAAATTTTACACTCAAGTTTCTACTGTGAAAGACCAGGGGAATGAAAAATTCAGGATAATTTGGGTTCTGGTAATACATTATTTTTAAGTATCAAAAATAAAACATTTCATCTCTAGTAATCACATTTAAAATCAAACCGACAAAAAAAACAAATAAAATCCATATTTCAGACTTTTTTTTAAAAATTCTAATTCTCACATAACATAAAACATTTTGTTATTTATTTATAAGCCAATCTAGTTCCATTCTGGTAATTCACTGGTAACAAATACTTCATCTTTTTCTTGATGTAAAGGAAAACATGTGTCAAACTCTACCTATATTGGACTAAGTATGAATTTATCAAATTAAATGAAAGGAAAACAGTGCTTTCCCAATCTTTATGCCAATTTTAGTCAAAGCAAAAGCACACTGTTTCATACAAACCACCCAATAATCATATTGAAACAAAATCTGTCAAAATCTTTTTCCAATTTCTAATAATGAAAAACTCACTTAGGCTGGGAAGATGTGAGCAATTTCATACTTGTTAATGAGGGACTCACCTTGACTAAATAGACAGCAGGGCCAAACAAGTATCTTCAGCGGCCCAGGAATGAATTGTTGGTCTAGCATAGACCTAGCCTTAGGGTACAGTATCATATTAATATAATTTTATAACAGTGTAAAAAATACAAGTTACATGCAACATTTGCCCAGTCCCATACATACACCATCTAGCATTTGTAAGCTACTATAATGGCTGCAAGTATATCTAGTTATTCATCCCAACTTCCCTGAGAAGTAGGAATTCCTCATCATTTTTCACAAACTTGCACAAAATAAAATAGTTTATGCTCAACTGGGATTAAAATATATTCTTAACTTGTAGTCCCATTTGTTGTTGATTAAATTTTTTAAAATATTATAATAATCAGATAATTACTAAAATTGTGATCCAAAGTACTATAGTCACGAAAATAAGTTACAGGTGCATCAAACTTTAAGTGGAAAAGAACACCAATGGAGAGGACAAAATATTCACTCAACACATTCTTCTTACTTTCCAGCACAGGATTTTCTGAATTTGATTAGTGGCCATGAGTCATGAGAGAAAAGGAATAAATGCAATAGAAGAATTAAATGGGAAACTGGGAGAATGGTATCTAAGACTTCAGTGGGTAAATTCCTACTAACTCCATTCGCTAAAAATAACTAATGAAGCACTAGGCCTCAAAATATACTACTAACCCAGCCTCAGATCTAAACTAAAAAGCTTGTAACTATATATAACAGATGGAGAAATATTAAGATTGTAATATGACAACACTTTATGATATTGAATCAAGTGAAATAAACAGGCAATGAAATACTCAGACAACATTGAAATTAATGTTTAAAAGCAATAGAAATGAACATAATTTTACTATTTTGTTCTTAAAGGCCTCCCATTTGCTGAAGGACAATGCCAAAAATTACCAACAGGATATTTTTAATAGAATAATAAACAGAAGACAGCTGACAAGACCATTCTGGTGGCAGAAAAGGAATATATATAAGATAGTTAAAATATAAAAAATAAAATTAAAATTAAAATAAAGTACTGCTATTTCTCCTAAGGCAGGAAAAAACATTTAAGCAACACAGAGCCTCCATATAGGACTATATTGCTTTTAATTCCCTTCTTCTATTACCACCATAGGTACTCCATAAAAACTGGCAGTTTTCTGCCCTATCACACAGGCTTTGGAAGCACTAAGCCTATAAAAAAGTAAAGACCCTCAAGGAAGCTAGCTAGTTTGACTGTTATACTTCCATATCAAAATTCACCTTAGCTACAAAATAAAACAGACTTGTAAAGCACTATTTATATTTTTCTGTTCAGGACATTTTTCTCCCAAGAGGTACAAAATTGTTCAGTAGGGTTTTTAAAGACTGTCCCATGTTACAAGTGCCTTATTCCTCAGTTATTTCTTGTATCAATAAAATAAACTCAAATTAAGTCCATGGTGATTACATTTCTCTCCTATGCATATTTCTTACATACTAATAATTCCCAAGTCCCTGAAGCAACCAGGAAAAAAAACATACCTTTAAAAATTTTACTCTCACCTATTATCCAGGTAGTAAAATAATACAAATTATAATCACTCTGTAGGGTAGCTATGCATCTTCAGACCAGCCCCATAACAAACCAATAAAATTGTTATTTAAAACTTAGGCCAGTGTCGGCCTGCAGAGTAGGCAACATGTTTATTTTTTTAAAAGCATAATTAATATAAAAACTAACCACAATCTTTAAAGCAAATTAATAGATGAGCCCCTCTTCATTTCTGAAATCTTTTAATCAACTCTTGTGTTTTTAGAAAAAATTTAACCTCTGGGCCGCTGTGACTTGAAAATTCTCCTGTCTTTCTGTTTCTATCACAACTTCTCAAGTCATCTACCTGCATCCCATTCTAAGATCTATCCACCACTAAAAAAGATTACTGTGAAGTGTCTAATAAATCTCTCTGATTTCAACGCTACCCAAAAAACCAGCACCAAAAACACCTTCCACAAGACTACATTTACACAGACCCCCAGTGCCTGGTTCTTAAAAGCCTTCATAAACTGACCTCACTCTTATTCAATCCATTAACCAACATAAACTCTCTCACTCAAAAGAGCTTCCTAAAAATCCCATTAGCCACATTCATCCTCATTTTCCTGGCCTTCTTTCTTGCTACTTAGCCTACCTGAAAATCTTTTCCTTGTGAACCAACTTAAATCCTACCCCATATCCTTCGGGATAAGCCCCAATACCCATGAGTCCACCCACTCACTTTTCCTTTCTCAGATTGTTTCATCTATTATTTTCACTGTACAATTTTGTACACTATTCTCTAATTGTTTCACATGTGTTATTCTTGCCTCCTCAGTTAGAAACATTGGAAACTCTGTAAGGCAGGAACTGAGACTGACACTTATTTGCAAACCCCACAGTGAACAAAATGACTACTGGACCAGCTGAATAGCTAACTGTACTTTCCCAGTTTAGCTTCATGAACTACAACTGGGCAAATAATTTCTTCTACTAGTTATTTGGCTTTTCTCTAACCCAAAAGTTCTCATGTCAAAAAATGTGTTTTAATACCAGAAACACTGATCGTTTTGGAATGCAGTCCCGTTCAATTCTCTAGCCCCTAAATGAGAACACATGTTGGCTGGTACTCACTTGATACTGTCTGTGCAACCGAGGTGGCAGTTGTTGTGGTAGAAGTGGTGGAGGAAGGGGTAGAGGATGATGTCGAAGTGGATACTGCAGGTGCTGGACTACTGGTCGTAGGAGTGGAAGCTCCAACTGCCTGTGCTTGCACTTGCGCCTGGGCTTGCGCCTGGGCTTGGGCTTGGGCCTGGGCCTGGGCCTGGGCCTGAGCCTGAGCCTGGGCCTGGGCCTGAACCTGCGCCTGGGCTGCAAGCATGGGTGTCAGCTCTGACTGCTGAATAACCTTAACTCCATCTGGCTTCGTCCAAGCAGATTCACGTGTCCGAGCATTATAATAATAAACCTGCAAAGAAAGCAAAATCACTGGCATCACTAATGTCAAGAATTAAAAACAATAATGTAACTATGTTTTATCTTAAAAGCTATTTAAAAATAACTTAGAAAAGAGAAAGCATATCAAAAGGAATATAGGTAATTCCACCCCACCCCTGTATTTTCTATAATGCGCATACTATAGTAGGTTGATGCATAAGTTTGTAGCGTTTGCCTTTGGCATGGCAACACTGCAGTGTTTGGAGTTTACCATGTGTCATTTGGAGTGGCAACGTGCTGTGAATATGTCCTGCATCCTGCAGATGTGAAGAAAGTGAGTGCCATCTGTGGGCTGAAGACGGCTGAGTGTCAAGTGGAAAAAAACAAACGTTTCGAAATATTCTTCTGTTTGAGTTTAACAGAGGAGCAAAGGCAGCGGAGGCCGCTCTAAACCTTTTGCCGTGTACAGGGAGAATGCCGTCCGGGAAAGCATGGCAAGATCATCGTTTTCCGTTTCAAAGAGGGCCACTTTGACCTGAGTGACTCTCCACATTCATGAAGACCCTGAAGCTTTGATGAAGACTGTTTGAACGCTTTAGTCCATAATGATCTGCGTCAGTCAATCCAAGAATTGGCAAATGTGATGAACTGTGACCAGTCGGCTGTCATGAAACATCTGCACTCCACGGGCAAGGGGAAAGCCTTACAGACGTATCCATCAACCCAAAAAGGAAACCCAATGCTACAGTTTGCGCAGAAATGTAACACAGCAGGCCTGAAGCTGCTATCCTCAGAAAGCCCTGCTTACAAAGCTAGCCCTTGGCTGAAGCCTGAGAACGTGGATCTGAGAAGGGTTACCACCATTTCCTTACTGACAGAATGGCAACCGCTTGTGCAAATAATGCAGTTTATGCTCAACACTTACTTTCCTTCTAGGAGTCTGGAATTTTGGTATGTGCTAGGCAGATGGTACCAATGTGACCAGACACAACCAGAATCACAGGCAGATGTATGCCAGTACTCCGGGCAACCTTATACCTGCTGCACAAGTCAAGTTCCGTCAACTTGTCCTGGAGGCCTACCCTGCCCCTGCTTAGCCAAGGCTCTTAAGTGACAAGGATACCACCACCGATCTCAATCTGCCAGAACTCTCAAGTACTGTTTCTCTATCACCAAGGAGATTAAGAAATGTATTTCGTAATTTACCTTCCCATCTGGAGTTTTATTTTCAACCCATATCTCCTCAGTAGGAGGCAGTGCGGGAGTACCAGGAGCAGTCACAGGAGGCATTCCCGGTGGAAACATCATACCCGGAGGAGGAGGCATGGTTCCCATGGGTGGAGGCATGAAAGGTGGTCTCTGTCAATTCACATGAACAGTAACAGTCAATTGTAATTACCTTTTTTCCTTCAAATTCGTACTGAATTCTATCCAAAAGTAAAGCTAAAGTAAAAGCAAAGTAAGAGAAACCAGCTTAAGTCTATTCAAATACATTCATCTATTGTGTAAGCGAAATTTCTCTGCAACAAGTATGATTGCTAAACATAGAAAGAAATACATCAAAATACTAATAGTAATCAATTCTCGGTTACAACACTGGATGAGTTTTGTTTTCTTCTTCATACTTGAGCTACATTTTTCATATACTGGGTACTGAATGACTTTAAATAAAATGAATTTTTATATTCTATTTTAATACCAGGCACACCAATGCCTCCACAGCCCACCCACCACAGGAATCAACCATAAGAGAATCATTATTTTACAAAATAATACAGCAATAACCAAAAAAGAAAAATCAGATACATCTAGCCCTGTATTCTCTTTTCCTACCAAAATAAAAATTATTAGCTAGGAAAAAATCCACCATCTACTATTTTCCATATAATGATAACAACATAGATCATCAAAAATACAAACAAAGGCCAAGCGCAGTGGCTCACACCTATAATCCCAGCACTTTGGGAGGCAGAGGCAGGAGGACTGCTTTTGAACCCAGGAGTTCAAGACCAGCCTAGGCAACAGAGTGAGACCTCATATATACAAAAAAGTTAAAAAAAAAAATAGCCAGGTATGTGCTTGTAGTCCCAGCTAGTCCCAGGAGGCTGAGGCAGAAGGATCACCTGAGCCCAGGAGGTCAAGGCTGTGATGAGTCATGATCGTGTCACTGCACTCTAGCCCAGGTGACAGAGTAAGATCCCCCCAACTCAAAAAAAAAAAAAAAGAACTTAAGTTTAAAACATACAGTAAACTTATCTATTCTACATTTTGGTGGAAAATTAGAATTCAACTTGGGACATACTATAATTTTTTTAATTTCCCAGAGCCATTATTAATCCATATCTCTGATCATTCCTTCACTGTCATTCTTCAATGACTACTAACAAAAATACAAGATCCCAAAACAAACAATTTAGCTATAATTGCCATTATCTTTCTTACTAAAGCAGAAAAATGACCTAACTTTTTAAAAACATATATAACTAATCTCTTTAAGGATCCTTCAAGAAAAAGCTTTTATTGTACATAAAATGAGTCTCAAAATTAAAAAAATGAATATTGATATGACATTTAAAAAAACAGATGTTAACAAAAACTTAAAAGATTTCCTCTATAACCTACAAGTAACATCAAAATTCAATTATCCAAATCATCTTATTTTAGATAATGTAATTGAAACTATGCTAATAATGTAAGACTGTATTTTATCTTCCTAAAAATATTTTCTTTCACATACTCCAGATTCAGTTTTGTGTCTTTCAAGTATGAGCACACATACCCATGTTATATAAAATATCTAGCCCAAATAGATCTCATGAATCCTTGGCTAGAAATCACTTGGATTTAAACTAAAGTCACACAATTATCCATCAAGACCAACAAAACCACCACATTAGAAAATCTCATCAAAACATTTGATACAGTTCCATTAAACAGTCACATTTGTCCATTATATTTTATAATATTCACAAGTAGGTTTAATTCTTAAAAGCACAAATTAGAACAAATTCACATGTAATAAGTTATACCATACTCAGCAGGTCAAAAAACTATTTCTGGCCAGGCACAGTGACTCATGCCTATAATTCCAGCACTTTGGGGCAAAGACAGGAGGGTTGCTTGAGGCCAAGAGTTCAAAACCAGCCTGGGCAACACAGCAAAACCCCACCTCTACAAAAAACTAAAAATCAACTAGGTGAGATGACATGCCTGTAGTCCTAGCTACTTGGGTGGCTGAGGCAGAAGGATCACTTGAGTCCAGGAGTTCAAGGCTCCAACGAACTATGATTGTGCCACTGCACTTCAGCCTGGGCAGCAGAGCAAGACCCTGTCTCAAAAAAAACAAAAAACAAATTTAAAAAGCTATTTTTTATTCTAATCCTGAAGCAAATATAAAACCATTTAACAATGTGTCTAAAGTGGAGAGATACTATCTATTACTGGGTAAACAATAAAATTCTTAAGCAAATTATTAAAACCTTGTGTCTCTTCCATAAACACAACCCTATCTAAACAGTTAACATCACTTAAATAGTACATGATCTTTTTCTATGTTTAGTATAATTCACTCTTCATTATCTAAGCTAGTGGAAGGCAGGTAATACTACTATATTTATTTGGTCTCAGAATTGTACAGTCTAAACTAAAAAAAAAATAGATACATGCTCAAATAAAACACAATCTCAAAAGTAGATATTTGAGAGTTGATACCTTCATGACCTCAATATTCAGACAATAAATAAGACTAGATAGACTGGAGAGGGATAAATGCCCCAGGCTAAAATACCACAAATATTTTTATTTAAAGAAATCCCAGAGGGAACAGTGGCTCATGCCTGTAATCTTAGCATTCTGGGACCAAAGTAAGAGTAGTGCATGAGCCCAGGAATTTGAGACAGCTAGGCAATATAGTGAGACTTCATCTGTACAAAAAAATTTTGTAAATAGCCAGGTGTGGTGGTGCACACCTGTAGTCACAGCTACTTGGGAGCCTGAGGCAGGAGTATCACTTGAGCCCAGGAGTTCAAGGCTGTGGTGAGCTGTGAGGGTGCCGCGGCACTCTAGCCTGGGAGACAGAGTGAAACCCCAACTCAAAGAGGAGAGAAGAGGAGAGATACCACAATGAATATTTTTCTAAAATAACCCTCGTTTCCCAGGGGGAAAAAAAATTTCAAATATTTTGCTTATAAGGTGTGTCTCTCCAGTTTCTATCCTAGGCACTATTTCTGGGGAGAATTACTCAGGAGAATATATACACATATTTTATACTTGCTGGCACATATCATTGAAAACAAATCTTCTCCACTCAATACATTAAAATTTCAAACTTCATTTCCCATAAAGAAGACATATTACTAAAGACAATTTAGAGATAAAAGTAAGAACAACCCTATCGAACCCTAGTTTGATATGCATGCTTTTCTATCACCACCTAAATTCCTGTTCTGAATTTCTATGCTAATTACTGCTACTACTACTTTAGAAGCAATGTGTTAATTTACAGAAATTCCCTTTAGCTCTATTTTCCTATAAACTGAAACCACTTAAGAAAAATGAGTTTACAAAACTCATATATACTACCAATAATGATGTCAACAAAGAGATGATAACCCTTACATTCTTTACCTGGAGGTGTGGAGGGCCCATAGGTGGAGGAATCCCTCCTGGAGGAGGCATTGGCGGCATATTAGGATCAAAAGGAGGACGTCCAAATGGGGGCCGAGGCGGTGGAGGAGGGCCTCGCATCATACCAAAAGGTGGAGGCGGTCGCATGAGAGGTGGTGGGCCTCGCATCACTGCATTTGGTGGGGGAGCTGGACCTCGGAACCTCAAGGCCTGCTGTTGAGCCATCCTATGTGGGAAAACAATGAATATGTTTTTCTTTCTCAAAATTACAAAAATGTCACTACTGATCACTAATTACACCAAACTGCCCTTAAGTGGAAGTGGAGTAGAAAAGCCATCATTCTGCAACCAATCATAGTAAAACTGCATCAGTAAGAATGCTCAGTGGATGCCAAATCTAAGTAGAAATCTAGATGAGAAGAATAATTGGATGGTCTTAAAATGTCTACCCACATCTTGCTTACAGATGCAAGGGAGGATTTAAAAAAAAGCACTATATAATAAGGAAATCGGGCAATACGTTGGCCGTTGGCCAGGCGATCAAAATTAATGTCATCTAAGGACAGATAGATAACATGACTGAAAAAGACACATCACCTATTTCAGCCAAGATGGTACAAACCTCAATCCAATAATGAAGAAAATATTAGACAAATACGAAATGAGGGATGTTCTATCAAGGGGGGTATATTTTTCAGAAATGTCAGTGTTATACATAAAAGACAAAGGCTATGGAAATGTTCAGATTAAAGAAGGCTAAAGAGACATGACCGCAAAACACTAACTCCAGAATGGATTCTGTACTAAAGGAAGAAAACGCTGTATAAAAACATTATTAGATCAACAGACAATACTGGAACACGAACAAAAAAATATTGTGTCACTGTAAATTTATAAAGTTGATCATTGGACTGGGGTTGAGTAAAAGAATATCTCTTCTTAGAAAATATACACTGACGTATTAATGAGTAAAAGGCAACAAAGAGCATACATGCAAATAATAAAGCAAGAGAGGTAAAATATTAAGCTAAGTGTTTTATCTTTATTTTTGCAACTTCCTATAAGTCTGACATTACTTCCAAATACAGAGTTTTTAAAAGAGGGAAGGAGTAGCTGAAGGAATCACTAGTACTATCCAGAGGGAAAGCCTTTCCCTGTCCTGCACCCCAGCATCCCTCTCTCTCTAGCTCAACACCCTTGTGTATTTTCTCTATAGCATTTAAGTAAACAAGTAATATCAAGCAAGGTGGTACAATCCATCTCTCTCCCCAAGTACTTTTAAAAAAAGAATTAGTAGCCCTTAATGTGCCAGGCAGTGCTGTAAGCTCTTTTCAAATATTAAGACATCTGATCATAACAACTCTATGAGACAGATACTATTATTTACCTCACTTTATAGATAGGGAACTAAAGCACAGAAGTTAAATAACTTGCCCAAGTCTACACAACTGGTTCTGTTAGCCAGGACTCAAACGCAGGCAAACGGGCTCATCAACACTACAGCGGCATGTAAGCCCCTTCAGAGTAGAAATTCCTTCACTTATATCCCCAGCACATAGTTAAGGCTGTATATAGCAAGGCTCAATTAAGTATTTGTTGCATGAACCAATAAATACCTATGTAACCTTGTACCTAAACTACCTTACAAGTAGGGTATATAGAACTTATCAAAAAATTGTTTTCAAAAATTTAGTCAATTTTCTGAGTACCTATCATGGTCTTCTCACTAGCTACATTACACATGAAGTCCACATTTCTGTCCTTGAGAGGATTAACAATTATATTCTTTATGTACATTTGAAAATAATCATTCTTATATTCTCTCCTCACCAGGTTCTTTCAACTTTGCTACAATTTTCAGCCCTCTCCTTATGATTACCCTTTGAAATTTCTCTAAATTTTCCACATCATAGTTCAACCCTAGCAGAGAACCAATTTGCCTTCCTGAAGAACTCCACGATTCTAAGTCCAGAACTACTATACCAAGTTTATTTAACCAAATCTGCAGAGGATCCTACAATCCAAAGGTTAGAAAATATGAATTAAAAAGAGTGACTGCAAAAAGAAATACAGACTGAATGTATCAAAATAATCAGAAGGTCTTTTTCAAATTATATGTACCCCCCAAAGACAGAGGGTCACTGTTATTTAGAGTCTTAACCTTTAGGGCAGGAAAAAAGTTAATTACCAAGGAAAGATATTCGGTTTCAGCCTTGGGTTAATAATGTACCCTATTCTTAGATATCCTTTCCATCTGCCTCTTCTTTTTCAAACAATCTTCAGTATTTCTTCTTTGCAATTTCATACTTCCTGGTTATAGCTTGAAGTTAAGCACTTAGGATCTAGAATCAAGAAAGTCTTTTGTTGTCAGACTAGTTACATAATTTCAGAGTCTAAGTTTTCTCAAACACAAATGACCAAGGAACAGAAATAAAAGCTATCTCATAGCTGTGTCCAATGGGATAACCCCAGTGAAACATTTAGGACAGTACCTGTACACAGTAAACTACTTTAACTATCATCACTTTCACTCCCCCACAAAACTTAGCAGTGTTTACCTGTAAAAGGCACTTCATTATTAATTTGACTTGATGGCTTTCAAAGTCTCCTGCTAAAACGGTGGCAAAATTCACATAATTTCCTCCTTCAGCGGCCTAAAGCTACCATTTTCTGAAGTCAGTTGTGTGTAGAACAATACTGAGCTGTCTATATATACTACTGAATCATAACACCCTCACCAGAACCTGCTGTGAGGATTACATGAGCTAATCAAGTACTTGGTACAGTGCTATGAAGTTATTAGCTATTACTGTTCTTACAACATTAACACTGCAACAGTATTGGTAAGTGTTGAACCATATTGATATCAGTAACAGTATTAGCTGCCATTACTATAATTATCATCAGGCCCTATATAACTTGGCCCTTGTTAACATTTGCACAAACTCTTGTCTTTCCAATTGTCAAATACTTCAAGTCCACTACTCTGAAGCCTCTGCACTAGCTCCCTCTGCCTACCACGTTCTTCGCAGATTTTTACAAGACTGGGTCCTTCTCATTATTCAGCCTTGGCTCAAATGTCACCTCTAACTGCTTCCCACTTCTAGGCCCTCTCGGGCTCATTTCTCACCCCCAATTAGAGTTCTCAAATATGATAAATGCAACGAAGGCATCTCTCACTTGTCTACTAGTTTGTAATGTTTACCCAATACAAAGTTTCCTTCAGAATACTGCTGCAACACAATGCTTTAATAATGATAGAGAAGTTCCTATATACCAGGCACGGTTACATGGACATTATCTGAGTTAACTCTCAATTCTCACAACAACCCAACAAGGTAAGTTTGGCACCATTTTACAGAGAAAACTACTGCAGAGAAAAATATTTTGCTTAAGACAGTTAATCAGTGGTAACACCAGAATATTCTTATTGCCAATTTAGAAGTGAGGAAATCTAGACTGCAAGTACTTTGTCGGCAAGGGACCACTACAAACATGACTTAAAAGTTACTTTAATGGCCCTCAAACAGTAAAGGGATGGACAGCATTTGGAATCTCTGAATCATCCTACTTGCATGAAAACAACAAAAGTATTTCACAAGAATACCATGGAAATACAAACATAATGTATTTTTCTAGAAGTACTCTATCCAGACATGCAACCTCCTCATTGGTGAAGACCACACCTCAAGAAAAAAAAAAGATGCTACTGATACATGGGGGGCAAATTATATAACCAGTGAGTGAGGAAACCCTGTCAACTACCCAGTGACCTTATAAGTCACTTCACACTTTCAGGCTGATTTCATCATTTGATGTGATTGGTTTAGTTTTACAATTTAGATAGACATCAATTAAGATGGCAGCTCCTTGAGGACAAAGGCCTTCTTTGGTGTGGTTTAGGGCTCTACTGCCAGCACTTAGGTCAGTAACTATCACAAAGCACACGATGAAATGTCTGTCCAGAAAGTAAATCATCTCTGAATCTCCCATCTTCATGTATTTACCACCTTATTTGCCAGGCAGTTTGACAGACACGCCAAAAAATAATTCAGGATACAAATGCCGAAACTAAGCCCCAACTTCTGCCATCAAAGAGACCACATAAAAAGCTAACTTCTCATAAATGATGAGAAATGCCAAAATAAAGGTCTGCACAATATGCTCTGCAAGCAACTTCCAACCCAAGAGGCTAAGGAATAAAATATTTGCAACAGAACAAATTAAAGCCTATTCAAATCAGTTTTGCAACAATGTCTAGACTTGATCAGTATAAGTCTAAAAGGCTACTACTTGCAAACCTGAAGAAAAATACTCTCTAAGATGCAAAATAATGTTCCCTAATAAACACCTAACTAACATTCCATAAAGATCAGAATCAGATTTCCATCGTTAACACTGAAAAGACCCAAACAATTCACTCTGACCACTCATTCCTAACGTGAGCATACGGGCTTAAAGGATTTCAGATTCATCACTGAAAGAAGACAAAATTTCAATCCTGCCAAAATAGAGATTTGTGTGTGTGAAATTCAGAATGTGAACGGCATTATTTTCCTCTAAAACCTTGAACAACATTACCCATTTCCTTATACAATTTCATCTTAAGCTCTAGACAATATTACGGAGTCCTCATAATCTACACCGCTTTTTCATTCTCAAATGCTGACACCAGCACAATTCAAGAATGAGAGCTGAACATCTGAAATGACATTTCTCCCCTCCAGAGGGGGAAAAATGTAACAAACACACATCGCGCGCAGTACCTCTTTTTCCTTCACAAACCACTGACAGAAAGATGTCTCCAGGGCACTCTTACTCAGCCAAATTTTAATTACAAACTCCACAGGCCTGGAGGCACGGAGGCTCGGGGAAAGAAAGGTCACCAGGCTCCCCGGGGCGACAGGCGCGGGTGGCGGGCGTACAGAACATCCACCCGGACCGCAGGCTCGCGGCCTGACCGCCCGGGCTCGAACCACTTCCTGGGCCAGGTCTCGGCTCGCGCAACCCTGTTC